AATGAAAAAAAACACAGCTGTTACGACCCAACCTGATTTCAGTTCGGTAAAATAGGGTAACTCGCAAAGGATGGAACTGTAGCTCCATTGTTTCGCGTTAACACCACAATGAACGAAATAACCAACAGCGAAACCAAGTGAGCTAAAGAACTGCAACTAGGTTCAACCACGGTTTTGTTCAACACAATGGCAACAGCAGACTGCAACCTCTGCGCTCAATCCACACAATCACAACTTTTGGAAAAGACTTCTGCCAGTCAATAAATTCCATGCAAACACGATTTTGTCTGTCCCAAGAGTTCCACAACATCCATAACCACTTTAGTTCAGTCTTTGGAAGGAATTCAGTCGATTTAACAGGAGAATCGACCTGCCCACACAGACGGAAACAATTCGACTGACCAACAGAACGCACAGACTTATTCATAAACAAAGTTATTCCAACACCATACTATAGATGGCGCTCTCACTATAGACCGCCACAGTAGAGTTTTGGGGGGCTAATTTGTATAATTTTTGGCAGATCGACTTCTCATGAACAAATTACCATCTACACTCATCAAGGCATCCACACACCAAAAATCGAGTCAAATGGTTCGGCGGTTTTTGAGAAGAAGTCGTGCACAGACAGACAGATAGATAGACGGACGACAGACGCAGGACAGAAACTCATCCTATAGGCTCAGCGGACCTATGGTCCGTTGAGCCAAAAATGAAAGCTAGAAACCGAGAGAACAGGAATTGCTGGTACAATTCAAGAAAAAGAAAAATGTACAGACATACACCGCAAAAATAAATTGCACTGGTCACACTCTACCTGCCACCCCCTGATTTCAAATGTGGATATAGTTTATTGAAACACATAAAATTCCTCAGAAGGAATTAAATTGGTTACACTAACTGCTAAAACGATTCACAGTCAATTCGTCCCAATTCACATTCGTCCCAACACATTCGTCCCACAAGTCGATTCGTCCCAATTCACATTCGTCCCGCAAGTCGATTCGTCCCAATTCACATTCGTCCCACAAGTCGATTCGTCCCAATTCACATTCGTCCCATTTCACATTCGTCCCAATTCACATTCGTCCATTTTTTTTAATTTTTGGTCAGCGTTACGATCTTGAGCAGGGTCAATTTCTATGCCAACTGTTACTGACACGCTAACTAATAACTCCACGTTGCGTGTACGGTGTATTTGTATTTATTAACTAATAACTCTACGTTGCATGTGCGGTGTATTTGTATTTATTTATTAACTAATAACTTGTACGTTGCGTGTACGGTGTATTTGTATTTATTAACTAATAACTCTACGTTGCATGTAAGGTGTGTTTGTATTTATTTATTTATTAACTAATAACTTGTACGTTTCATGTACGGTGTATTTGTATTTATTAACTAATAACTCTACGTTGCATGTAAGGTGTGTTTGTATTTATTTATTTATTAACTAATAACTCTACGTTGCGTGTACGGTGTATTTGTTTATAACGTCGGCAAAAACAAAATGGCGTAATGAACAATTACGCATGCCAGTGCATGACGTGTACGTGAACAGTTCGTTGTTTGGATTTTTTGTGTTTATTTGGCGAGTTAGTAGTGGGCTAACCTTAAATCTGACGAATCGATCGACTTGTGGGACGAATCGACTTTGGGACGAATTAACTTGTGGGACGAATCGACTTTGGGACGAATTAACTTGTGGGACGAATCGACTTTGGGACGAATCAACTTGTGGGACGAATCGACTTTGGGACGAATTAACTTGTGGGACGAATCGACTTGAGACGAATCGACTTGTGGGACGAATCGACTTGGGACGAATGTGATTTGGGACGAATCGACCGTCCCCCCCATGACCGGCCGAGGGTTCCCGTCAACACTGGCACATTTCCGGGGTGAGTCGGCGCTCATTGTTCATGATTATAATCCTATTGTTCAAATGTTCTCGCCTTTCTAAAGACAAAAAACGACAGACTTTTTACAAGTCCCTGAAAAGGAGTAACACTTTTATCAATGAGTTACTACATTCGTTGCGATGTTTTCACTGTCTTGCGCATCTGTGTATTTAATATATT